TCTCAGTGCTCTACCGTTGCTCCATCAGTTCTTACCGTTTTGCAAGCAAATTTAATCATCGTCATCATGAACCGATTCATCGTTGTGCTGCTGCTCTCCGTCTGTGCAGTTGCCATTGCAGGTGAGTTACTTTGTTTTGTCTGCATGAGCACTTTTCAGATTTGTCTTGTCATGCTGTCGGAATGTCTTGTCGATTAGCTTTTTGCTCTCCTCAAATGTGATTTGTGAACGTGTCTTGCGTTACATGTGGACCTGGGATCGTTATACGTGTTGTATTTTATTGTAGTAGAGTATTATAAAAGCCATACATTTAAATTTAAAATATCTAATTCTCGTAACGACTGACTAAGTGGCGAACAAATTTCAGGAAAAGGTTAGAATAGGGTTACCCAGGGGAAACTGAGAAAACTTTCTGCGTTTAAACAATGAAATATCAAGTCCAGTTGACAGTCTACACGAAAGCGAAACTCAAATTTGAAACTTCACGCTTAGAGTTTGCGCTGCGATGTCGCACATTTCGATGGCTGTGCTTCGTCAAACCGTTCCGCGTTTGAAAGTGCCAGGTGTGAGCTAGAAAGTCCAGCAATATACCGAAATGACATCATTAAAACATTCTTGTTAAACGTTCATGTGATTCGTCAATCTAAAGACTGGACATTCCTGCCTAACGTATCTGGACGCGAAAAGTAGCAGCTGAAGATCGCAAGTCAAGAGACAAGACGCAAGTTCACAAACACCCTTAATTTCAAAGCAGCATTGAAGAAGAATTTCGGTTACTGGCTCATTCTCCGTTAAAGTGTTCACACATGTGATTGATGTGTCGTTCGCATTCGTGCCCCGTTTTAGACTGTGTTCGTCCGTTAGGAATGACCTTAGTTGTTATAAGTTATCGCTGTGCGGATTTGCTCTGAAAGCTGCGGAGAAAAAGGGTTGAAGTTGGCAAAAACAATAAAAGAATGAAGTAGTCATTGTCTGTGTTTCTTGTAATTTTTCCAAGTTGCCAGCCAAGGTGTGCTTCATGTAAAGTATCTCGTTCATTAATGTGCGTGCCTACATCACGGATAACTGGTAGCCTAGATACCCAAAGTCCACGGTATGCCCTAAATACAATTTGAGGAAAATAGCTCATTAAATGTTTCTTAGCGCCCTTTGAGTATTTGTCGCAAATGCCATAACTAGATACGTTCCAGTTTTTCCTGGAGGGAAGAGCCCGTGAAGATAACGACGATAATCTATATTCTCATTGTTAATAAACCAAGCCGACCGTGTAGAGCTTTATCGCTCGTAGTGTATACAATACTATGATTTCAAATTTAAAATGTCGAGGTCCATTAACAAAAAAAGACTATGTGTTACGTTAGTGTCGTACCAGATAAGTTATAAACATGTACATTTGACTTGTTTATGGAAAAATGCTACGAGATCTGAACCTCAACAACTTAATTATATGACAAACAATACAATTCTAAAAGAGTCCCACCAAATACGTTACACCAGATACGTTTCTAAGTTTTACAATTGTTAGTATTGATGTACACAGTCCACATTTTGAACGAAGTCATTATATCCAACGTTGTTTTTCACGAGAACGGAAAGTCTGTACACATCAAACATTCGCTTCAGAAAGTGCTAAAGAATACGAATCATTTTAAGTGACTTTTGATAAGTTAAAATGATGGGGCATAACCTTTTATTGGAATGTAAATTGACCTAAGACAAGAAGATTCTAGATCGTAAGCTAACATTGTTTACATGGGCAATGACGGCTTAATAAGCAATCTAATCAACCTTGTAACGTATATGATCAGCTTGGTAACGATGTTCAAATGTAAGCGTGCCCTTTGTCGTGGGGTAAAACAATTGTTCAAGAGCTGCGGACGAGGCTAACGATAGAGTACATTACATTTGAAATACAAATTTAATGCGCAGCAGCAGACAAAAAAAACTTGAGAACAGTTAAAAACGTTATGAAGGGTTTGCTCACAAGACGAGACATGTCCCGATTTATACATGCCCTGTCTTTGTTATCTGGTATGTTACCTCTTCTAACGACATTTGATTACAGGATATTGCCCTTTAATTTCGTTAGGAAAAATCGAAATTTTGAAGAAAAAAAAAACACGTGTACATGTATACCTACTTAAAGATTGTTAATTCTTCACGCGACTGAATATTCCCATTTAACGCATCTGGACACGAAAAGTAACAGCTGAAGATTGCAAGTCAAGAGACAAGACGCAGGTTCACAAACAAATGTAGAAGCCAATGTTCAAATATGTCATTTTTTGTGCCGTTCGCATTCGTGTACCGTGTTCGGCTGTGCCTCTCTGTAAGGAGTTTTGTTTGCTTTTGTAAAGGATCACTGTGACGTTTTCCTTTGAAAGCTGTTGAGACAAAGGGTTCAAATTGGCAAAAGCAATAAAACCATGGTGTAGTCATTCTGTTTACGCGGAAAATGATGGTTATATAATAAATCTGATCATTCTGGTAACGTGTCTGATCAGCTTGGTAAATGTTAGTGTGTCAAAATAAAAATGAGGTAATGTATTCGTTTTCTCCTAAAAGACGATATCAAAAAGCTTAACTAAATGAATTTGTCTCGAAAATTCTGGCGTTGTTAAAGTTATTCGCTGTATTGTTCCGTGTTTTGAAACTGTATGAACTTTGCAATTCTGTGAGAGTTTTCAACATTATTCCGGCCAATTTCCTAAAACGTTCATTCACTTCTGAAAATCGGTCATTCATTTTCGACTGAATTTGAGAATCGCTCTGGACACGCATTTCATTTTCGCTACCAGAGCATTCGATTCCATTTCAGTTCAATCAATTAAGTGATTGAGCAGCACCTTTCATTTACGTCCATTCAGATTCGTTTACAAGACTTCTTTTTCGCTTTTAGAGGGAGATTACAAACATTAACCATTCTATTTCACTTTTAGTTTAATGCAATCTGCACCAGATACAATAAGGGGTTTCTTTTTCATTAACCGTCAGTCAAAATTATTAGCTGCATCTGAAATCAATTTAGAAAAAGTTTGTTTGCGTAAATGAATGCACAGGTAACGTAATTGGCCGTCTGTTTCTTAAAACCGAATGCAAGGACAATGAAAACGATTGAACTGTCGTTGAATTGAAATGGGATTCAAGACGTGCATTCAAATTCAGACGAAAATGAATAATCGATTTGTAGAAGTGAATGAACATTTTAGGAAATTGGCCGGGGAAAACCTATATATAGTTCGTCATTTCTTGGACCAAACTTTCTATCCTTTTAGCGGAAAATGGACTTAATGGTTGTTACCTGTTACCCATAATGGTCCTTTCCCGTTTGCACGCGTTAACACCTGTGTTTAACATTCATTCGACTATTTTTATTCATTAAACGTCATTGTTTGTTCTTTTTTCTCCCAATGTTTGTCAGTCAAAACTGATGATGTTGCGGACCTGGGATAAAAGTAAGTCACATTCTGTATTGCAAAATTTTTTTTTTTTTTGTAATCTGGTTATCCAAATAAGTAATGAATATGTGCTTGGAAGGTTTAAATCAATTACGTTTTAATCCAGTTTTGGACCTGCACGCTGATAATGGCCCGAGCCGAAGGTCTTTTGGTCGAAACGTCAAAACAACGACTTTGTTCCACAATTTATCAATTTTTTTAACACCCCTCTAGCTATGTCATGGTGTGTGCCTGTATAGGGAGTAGTGTGGCGCGTACTGCGCAGTATATGTAGCGCAGAACGCGACAACACAGACTGACAATCGGTTGCGCATGCGTGACCAGCACGCGTGCGCACTTTACAGAACCATCTTGTTGCGGTCTTAAAGGTAGCGTCCATCATGTCTAATGAGTGCATTTTGTCCGTTTGAAGCAACAAAAGTTTTCAAAATCTAAAGAAGGGTGCTGAGCAACTAACCTGTCAAAGTTGCAGCTCGGTGAATGCTGTATATATTCTGAGAAAACAATATTCTACGATCTCGATTTCAAATCAAACGTTGCTGAGCCATGTTTTGAATTGGGCCTGAATTCAGCGTCCGAGACACGTTCTCACTGAGCCGATTGCAGCTACGCCGTGTCGCTCACTGAACGGATGAATTATAGCAACCGCACGCGCGTGTGCATTGTGTCAACGCTTGCCTGCGCTACGCCGAATACAAAAAAAAGGGAACAGAATACTAAGCCCCCCCCCCCAAGTCTCCTGTTTCTGGTATGCGCGTCCATAGCTGTAGCCATGCGCGTCTGCACAATTTTAACGTGTTTTATAGATGAAGTTATTATCGAGTATAAGCTTTATGTGGCCCCTCTAGACTCCCATATATTTTGCACTAAATTTAGTCGGGCACCATTGGCAGTCATCAGCCGACATTTGAAGAAAAAAGAAAAAAGAAAAAAAAAAGAAACTGTTGGGGCAAGCTCCATACCAGAAACCTGAGCTTTTTTTTGGCTTAACGGAAATTTCAAACGATTCTTCTTTAGACGCATCGTTTATTAATGCCTCCTTTCATTGATTTATTCAAAATGACAGTTAGCCCAAAAACAAATATATTTTTTTTTTTTGAGTGTGAAAGCCAAAACGTTTACGTATGGAGTAAATTGGTGTCAGACCTTTCAAAGCGTTTTTCTCCAAATGGTATTTCCGCTACAAGTCATGCTTGCCTTCCAGTTCGTGAAAATCAAAATCAATTTATAGCACGTCAGTGTTCGAAGTGCATGCGCGCGCAAATCGGCGTGTCAGTTCGTGAAAACCGAAATTATCGATTTGGAGGTTTTCACAAACTGACACAACACAGCGCATGCGTACGTGTCAGTTCGTAAAAACGGTGACATAATTTATGACTATTATTATTATTGCGCATGCCCAAGTGAAGAACGTGACCATTCAACCAATAAGAGTGTCAAAAATGACTAGATTTGACGAAATGACGGTATCACCTTTCATGCCATTATATTTCATTGGTTAGCTTTATAACAATGTGTACTTTTGAACTCATCCAGGCGCAGTCCCCATTACTGTGGCAGACATCTTGGGGACAAGATTACTCAAGTTTGCGGTTGGCACTTAGAAGCTTGGGATGACGTCCACCCAGGTATTCTAATCATAATCCTCTAGTCAATAAGTTAAAATAAATATAAGCTACAGGTTCGTGTTTGTTGAGTTACAAACGCAGAGTAGTTGGGCTCGAATCTAATTTTGGCACAATAATCAACTGAAAATTCATTTAAACATTCGTCAACCTGTTGCTAGAGAGCGTTCTAACATTTTATGACATCACCGGTACTTTTGTTTTCTAAAGTACAACCTAGCCAGAGAATAACTTCGTTGAAAGCAAGTTCATATCTTTATCCACTTTCAAGTTATAAGGCACTTCCGGTTTGGACCGGAAGAAAGGGTCACCTGATTTTGCACGTAATATCAAAAACGCTAGACTATTCTATCAATTCCAGCAAAAACCAAAATCAAATCTCAAACAATAGATTTAATATCGATTTTCAAAGATTAAATCTAGATATATTTGGTTGCTTTTCATATAATACGTGATGACGTCATCGTGACGTCAGTACCAGAAAGCTCGAGAGCTATGTTAACTGTACCATTTGAAGCAAAAAATCTGGATTTCTTTTCTTGCGGATGATTTTTCATCATTTTTTTTAAGGTTTAAGGATCTTTTTGATTGTAACCTGCGGTCTGATGACGTCATTCCTTTTCGCACACGGGTCTTGTTTACATAATGGTCATCATATGATAGTAATTTTGAAGCAATTAATGCAAACTTTGCCACATAATCAACTGAAAATTCATTGTAAACTTTTTTTTTCAACCTGCCGCTAGATGGTGTTTTAACATGTTACGACGTAATATCGTTACAAGCAAGTTCACATCTTTTTTACTTTCAAATTATAGGGCACTTCCGGTTTGGACCGGAAGGAAGAGTCGCGTGATTTGGCTCACACGAATCAAAATGAAGATTTTTATATCAAACCCCGCAACAGTCAAGGTCAGGTCTTTCATGGTTGATTTTACATTAATATTCCAAGATTAAATCTAAAAAAATATTTAATCGCCTGCAATTTTACACACGATGACGTCTTCATGACGTCAGCATAGTATGTACCACTGGAGATGAGGGTCGATTTATGTTGAAAGTTCACACCATATACCGTTGAGAAGAAACCCGCGGAGCGCAGAATTATTGTCCAGACAAAAAACAAAAACAAAACAAAAGAAAACAAAACAAAGTAAAGAAAGAAAGAAAGAAAGAAAGAAGATTTATCAGAACAATGCTAAACAATGATGGGGTTGTGCCCGACCACTCAATCAGGAACTCCAGGAAATAAGGTTTGATCCCTTTCAGTTTAAGTCAAGTCTTTATTCTACCCCTCTTAGGTAATTTAAGCGATGAAACCAAAACTAAGACTTCACCTAGTCGAAATAGTCTGCAGAAGTTCTTGAACTGCCACAATTATGCAAAGGTGGCCACATGAAACTTTGTACCGATGACAAAAACAAGTTGTTTCCCTAACTCCTTTCGCAAAATTGTTTTCACTTCAGGCCTTTGCATTTAGTTGTACCTGTGATACGGCATTCACACCTCCACGTGCGATACCAATTATGCTTAGTATTTGCTTCCCCAAATTATGTGTAGAATATTAGCTGTGATTGTGACTATTAGCTGTGAACAAGTTGAAAATCAGTAGTATTTTACATGTTCTCGTTCACAAATTTAAAAAGACAATGATTTGTGTCATCTTTTCTTTGGCTTACACAGCGTTTGTGGAATCCGATGAGGCCAATAGTTTCTTGGCCGACCGCCGAATCTCAAAGCGAAGCCTTGGCGAAGAATGCTGCCACGAGGGATGCTCCAATGAGGAAGTACGCGAACACTGCTAAAGAAAACACCAGGGCGGATCCGGAACGGACTGACTTCGCGATACCCGAAAATTATACATTTTCTTTGTTTTTTTTGCTCGCTTATTACAATTCAAGCGGTGTTTTTGTTCTCTATTTAAAATATATTCTACATAATTTTACTCACACCATAATTTGCCGCATGAGATTACAAACAACATAAGAAACAACCAATATAGATTGGTTGTTTCGTACACATTTACACATTAAAACACAGTTAAGGAAAATAAATTAAAGTCTTTGGCTACACGTTCTTTCATCGGTTGAAGAAACTCTAAGCAACTTCACTTGATTGAGATTTGACATTAAACAAAAACAGTTAAGTTTACTTGAGGAGGATATCAGTGAGTGTGAACTTTTTTTAAACGAATTGTCAGAGAAAACTTTAAGATCGTAAAAGCTGTTTTATCACCATAGCATTTGCAGTGATTTAATTTGTAATTTCGTGACCCCACATTCAACACAAGCCATCGACGTAAATTGTGCCCATTACCTTCCGGGACATGTTTTTTTTTTCGTTTATAAAAGCTAAAAAGAAGATAATCACTTACCATCTGGGAAGTTCTTGGCGTCTTTTAAAAGGACCACACCAGCGAGTAAATAATACTTTTTCTTTGGTGGTAAGTTTTCTGTCATTTTGAAGATCATAAATTATGTCTGGTTAGTGTTTAAAGAACAAATGGGTAAATCTGTACGGGTTGCAGGGATCGAACGAACGGTCTCACCAAAGTTTTGAAATCTTAATAAAAAACAATATGTTAAAGTTTCTCAAATATTGAAATTGATAAGTTCGAAGTTGACACAGTTTGGAGGTTTGCAGAGTGTTTGAGAACATATACTTTGGAAGTTTTCACAAGGATGTAGTTGTCATGTGAACTTAAGTTACGCCTGATTTACGTACTCGGTGTGTTGGATTTCTATACATTATTAAGACTTTTTGTTTTCCGACTTCTTCCATTCTGTTTCACAGTTTCGTTTCTGCTGTAATTGCCGTATCAATTAAGTCTTAATTTCGGTTGGAGACTACATTAACAAGTTACTTCAAAAACAGTCATATTGTGTGATTGACTCGTAAATGTCTTGTAGTTTGTTTGTAGTTAACGACGGAGAGACCCCTTTTGGGGCTAGTCCAAGGCGCATGACAAAACGAATTGATTGATAATTATCAAGGTCTATGACATGATCCAAAATCCAATGACAGTCTAGACTTGATGACAAGTCGTTAGATATTCGTATTTTGTCAGTAAACTTCAGTCGAACTCCATCGGCGCGGCTGGTATAATACTAGTACGCAATCGGCCGTGTTGCGACATATCTAATGACTTGACGATTACGTTCTCGCACCGTTATTCATACTATGCAAGCAGCGCAAAACATATGCAGTGCATGTTAGCGGTGAGATCCAATGGCGCACCGCTATGCAAATGAGGACTCATTCAATCCGTTAAATGGGGAGTTCTTCTCAATACGTCGGGGACATGTTTTGCAGATCTGGCAACGTTTTAACGACCAAAACAAGAAGGCAAGGTCAACTGTGCATAGAAATACAATGTATTTATTTCAGTCTTGTATGCCCTATAGTGATTGTTGTAATGTTACACAACACAAAGTACAAACCCTCGAAGTAATGAGAACGATCTTCCGTGACGGCCTAGAGTACGCTCTGGAATCTGAACCAATGAAAGTGCTCGCATAGAATTCGCTAGCGATTCAAAATACTCCCATATGTTGTGTACACAATTGAAAACGTAATCGCCAAGTCGGAAATTGGACATCTATAGTCGGCAAAATTTGGTCTGGGAACCAGACTACGCGCATTGCAGCAATATTTTGCATGCGTGGAGCCTGCAGTAACCGATACTGTTTATACGCAAAACAATTACCGACTTGGCACCAAGTCTAAAGACAGGCCAATCAAATGCAATCATATCCATTGAATTAAACCAATGAAACCGTTTAAAGCAAGTATTTAAATATGGTGTGCAACCTCATACTTTTAAAGCGGAATGCCAAAGCAATGGTATGGGTGAAGCAATGACAATGGAATAGGTAAATGTCTCCGTCTTCACCCTCCTGAGGACGGACAGAGCACAATGTCCGAAACATCGAGTTCTACATTCAACCAACCGGTTCGTTTCAGAACTTCTTTCCTCATGTTGTTACCCGCAATTTTGTCTATTAAATGTCATCCCATGCAAAGTTTCAAGTTATTTATATAAAATATGGAAAATATCTACAGAGACAAAGTATATTTAAAAGGCAAACATAAGACTGAGACCAATTAGAAAAAAGAAAATATATTATACTGACCATACATACCTTATAAAGAACCAGTAGGAATAAGACCCCGCCCAGTAAAGTAGCCACAACGACTATAGTACAGCCGGCGAGCAATCATCTCAGTTTACAGTTAAGTGCTGGATCAGCCAAGCCACAATCATCCACGGAAGGTGGGTGAGTTACTGTGAGTACCGGGATTTCAGCGTCTTTAAGGAACAGTAGAAGCACCAGGATATCAGCCACAACATCGTTTTCGGCCAAACCCACGTTTTTGCGATGAGAAGACGTATAAGTTATGAAGGATACACATGCAAAGGAGGTATTGACAAACTTCTACGCTATTTTTGTGGGCTAAGGCCAAAAAAAAAAAAATACTCGGTCTCTTGTCAGGCCAAAGTTCCGGAATTGATGCGGCGACGCGGCTTTTTTTTTCAAGCTTGGATTGTACAGACAAGGTGGGGAACTATTTTGCTGTCCTCATGTGCATTGGTGTCCTCCATAATTTGCCTTGGTGCCCTTGATCATTTGCCTTGGTGCAATTTCTCATTCCTTGGTGCTCTTTGGTAAAAAAAAAAATGAGGAGGTTCGGCAATAGAGGGCGCTGTTGGAGCTACCGCGGAACATTTTGGGAAAAAAAGATTGACGCGCATGATTAAAATCGACGCGCGCGCTGACCAGAGACCGACTAATTTTTCTTTTTGTTTTGGCCTAATGAGAAGTAACGCGTTTTATTTCTTCCGAAGTCTAGTAAAGTCATTTAGTTTCATACAGATGCGTAAACACATCATGTGAGTAAATATGCTTTCTTAAGTTAATTCGGTCCTATACCCATCGATGAAATAAGTTATTTTTTCCCCTGATTTATAGGAAATTCAGTCCGAGAACCTAATTATCAAGGGACACAAACGCGTCATAGTCTTTGGCAATACCTGGTTGCAGAAAAAAAAAGACCTAAAAAAAATACACTGATAAATTGGGTAATCTTGAAGGTGGTCACGCTTTATATAGATTTCTTCCCATGCACGAGCACTGGAGCATACATGCCTGATTTTTTTTTTTTGGGGGGGGGGGCGGATAATAAATAGGGGGCAAAATAGAAAATAAAAATCACAGGCCGTAGCCAAATCAAGGAGCAAGGGTGGAGGGGGTTGGGGTTGGGGTTTGACATCATTTTATGTTTCAAACCGTACATATAGCCGCGTTTTGAGGCCATTTCCGAAAGTATTGTCAAAAAGTATTATCCACGACGCATCAGATCTACAAGAATCAGACTGTTTCCCAAAATATCGGTTACCACCTTAGCGACATCTAGCGCCCCATACTCCAAACACATGGAGCTGTAATATACCCTCTGCCACCCTAACCATCCTCACCACACCGGCCCTAGGCGATCATCCTCCGGCACCATCATCGCCACGCCTCAGTGGTCCTTCCTCCATCATCCTCAGCGTCGCTAAGCCGGCAGCCTAATCCACCATTCCGGCTCTCTCCCTGGAAACGATCTGAGCTTACTGATCGGAATGTAGGGTTTCCCAACCGACTGCTTCTTTTCAAAGCCACACATCTTCTCAAAAGAAATTCCGCCGCATGGTGTTACCGACAACTCTTACCAGTTTACACAACCGCAGTGCAGTTCCAAATCCCACATACGTGTAATTATTAAACTTTAAGTCCCGACAATACAAACTCTTGTGAAAAGGATCAGTGTGCTAATTAAGATTTAAATGAAAAACAGTGAGAACAATGTTAAACTACTGATCAGCCTTTAGAGTTACAAACGCAGTCTAATTGGGCAGACAACTCTTTCATTAGACACTGCCCAGTTAAATTTTAAAAAATGCGTTTTTTTTTTTAATTTCAGAACAGAAAGCAGGATCACGAAATTCAGGGTTTTATTTCAACCGTTTATTTTGAGTTATGATAAATGTCAGTTACATATACAAGTTGTTTTTTCCGGTTTGATGACGTCATCATTAAAAAGAGAGGAAAAATAATTATACTGATATAGTTACAGATGCTACATATTCTTCATAAAGTGAAAGGACATCTGAAAATAAATTATTATTGTATTAATTAATAACACCTTACCTCCGATTAGGTGACGTCACAGCATTTGGAAGCCAAAGGTCAAGGTACATCATATCATTATTTGTGCAACGAACACAGTATGATCGAGACACGGATCATGTGATGGATTTTATTTTTAAAAAAATATTGTGATTTCCGAATTTTAGCTACCGTAACTTCCGGTTTGATATTACGTTATGATTTTGAAATCTTGCATAGTTAATTGCATCTGACCAAAAAAAATAAGGGACAATTTCGTAAAATTTCGATGTGCCAAGAGAGGGCGCCGTTTTTGGTAAGTGTGTCATTTTTAAAAAAATTTTGGCATTCTAAATATACACTTCTACGATTTGTTCGTCTGTAGTGATATGATTCCGTTTTCAAGCTATATTCGATTTTCTTTGCTTTGCTGGTTACACCGGAATAAACATCAAGTAGTTTTGTTGCCAGAAATCCAGAATTAGGCAATGTTTAACTGGTCACAAAGTATGAGAATGTAACTGTATTACTTTGAAAAAGTTACTTTGAAAAGTTATAGCTCAAAGAAATAATTCAAAAATTGAAATTGAAAAGCTTGTAGTTTGATCCCCAATGACGTGATCGGTGATCTTCAGTCACTCAATACAGGATATTGATTCTTACCAATTATATGGTTTCAAGGTTTATATTTCAAACTTGAACATACCCAATCAAACCATGCTGGCGCAATTGGCCCTCACCTAGTATCACATACGATTTCACTGAATCCCTTTATATTTCATAATGGCAACCGTTATTCCATAATGGCAACTGTAGGTAAAGGCAAACAATAAATTAAAAGTAATTTTCCATATCGCATCTCAACATTTCAGACTTTCAACAGGTTGAGAGACCTGATCGGGATGATGACAGTGTCACTGAACTTTTATTTCGATCGAATATTCGGTTTACAGGTCTTTTTCTTGAGTAGTATACTAAGCGGGGTGGGATAGACCACAACATAGTTTAAGGAGAATCAACCTCTGCTGTTTATTGTTATTTTTTTCCACCCAGCATCTTTCTTAGAAACAAAAACTACATTTTCACATGTAGGCTGATTTGGGGGGGGGGGGGGGAGGTGGACTGGATGTTAGAGTGCATTGGGTCCCAATTTCATCCATGCTAAATCTAGACGTGTTTTCGACACCTAATCATGGTAACTGTAATATCCAGTGCACGCCCCCCCCCGACCCCACCCAACCGCAGAATCCTGGTTATATTTTGCCCGAAACTTTTGAGGTCAAATTTAATGATCATTTGTTTTGTTTTGCTGTCCAAATAACAATTTAAATCTCTAGGTCTTGACACTTTTGCCAAGTTTTGTGGGTGCCAAATCCCGCCCCCCCCCCTATAAAAACACCCAGAGAAGGGTCTGTTCCACCTGGAAATGTCAATTAATGTTGGCTTATCTTGGCCGTAACTCGTATTTGAATGACCAATTACCCAAACAAGGCATTCACAGAACAACACAATGATGTTATTAGAACCAGAGTCATTGACAGCCCGAAATTTAAGTTGAACTACTGCCCAACAAGACACTTTCAGACATTGGCGAATACAAATTTGCAAGACGGGAATTTAACGAATTATTTAGCGAACTCTAGCGGACAATAACGCAGTAAAGCATACATTCGTGTTAAGCGTTTGTTACACACACAAAGTTTAGAGATTATTTAGTATTTCAA